TCCAGTTTTCCAAACATCCTTTGTTAAAGAAATTTTCCTTTCTCCTCTTTATGCATCCAGTAAAGAAAATATTTCATGGAACGTTAAATGTTAAACTTTATGAATATATTAGATATTGGGGATTTAAAATATATAAACATGCTCCAGTTCTGCACCAGGCACCAGACTTATTCAATTAGAATCTCTCTAAAGCAGCATTTTCCAGAGAGGACACCACCCTCTGGATCATAGCTAGGAGAGAGGAAGGTAGGGAGGGAGGGTGCAATTGAGGGGTGCTTTTTCTTAAAGAAGGTAGATTACCAGGGGAGTGCTGAATGATTTCTTTTCTAAAAAGAAGGTTGCAGGACAGGTAAGTTTTGGGATTCCCTAAAGAACTAATGTCCCTTTGTGTAGAGAGGCACCTTGCAAGAAATTCTTTCATAAAGGTACCATCAAGTATATATTGCACTCTCAAAGTCTGCATTCAATTAACCTGGCATTATTCTAGGTTAAAACTCCTAAGCCATGGAACTGGAGTGATAGTACAGCAGGTAGGGTGCTTTCTTCCCATGCAGCAGACCTACATTTGACCCCCAGCATCCTATAACCTCCGCCAATCACCACCAGGAGTAATTCCTGAGTGCACAGCCGGGAGTGATCCCTGAGCATCACCAGAAGTGGTCCATTCCCCACTCAAATAAAAAAAAAAAGAAACAAACAAAAAACCACCCTCTTCCTAAATGTGGTCCCTCAGGGTCCCATCAGACTTCCCCTAAAAGAATTCCTCACTCTTTATATTTCCTTTCATATATATATGGCCCTTGATAGGCTCATTTTCCTCATAGTTTTCCACAAAATTTTCTAAAAATGTTCAGTGTATCTTCAGCTGCTCACCCCCAACACTTATCCAATCCTAGTAAGAACAAAGGAACCTGTGAAAATTCCATGAATATATCTTATAATAAACAATTGATTTTAACTGCTCTATTCACCCCTAATTCTAATGAATATTCCAATAATAAGTAGACATATCAAGTGATATTCTTAATCACTTTTTACAAAAGATTTCCAGAAGCACAGAAGTGTGAAGAGGCTCTATAAAAAGCTAATAAGCTAAGCTTTCCCTTCAGTCTTTCTGTGCTACTAAGCTACTCTTTAAGTGCTACTAAGTAGCTAGCGAAGTGCTAGCTCTGAAAGATACAAAGTATATGGAAATCTTCAGGACTGAGAAACAAACTTCCTAAACAGAGGGACAGAAGAAAGGGTAGAGGTGGGCAGTGGAGGAAAAAACTTCTAAGTAAAACCCTGGTTTTATCCCAGCAAGGATTTGTTTCTTGGGACTAAAGCCAAAAGCCCTGGCTTTAATAGATAAGTCTTTAGAAACCTCCCCCCAGCACCCCATTATTTAACATCATCCTAAAGTTAGTCAGGAATGAACATCACTGAAGCAAAGAAGATCTCTTCTTGAACTGGTATGTGTGAACGTTTTTTAATCTATACATTTTTTTAATATAAAATAATCTTAGGTCCAACGCAAAGCCCATCTTAAAGTAGTGATGATGATGATAAAAATTCCATATTCTATCCTATTTATACTGCTAATAATGAATCTGCTAAGATCAAGATTGTACTAAGGTCATAGCAAAGGAAGGTCAAAGAAACCAAGTTCTTAAGCTACTGTAAACATCCTATCATTTGTTATGTTAATTGTTATTGAATTGAAATTGAACAGTAACAAGGTTAAATACTGTTCAAAAAGGTGAAACCAGACTTTTGACTTTATTGTATCACTCAAGAAAAACTGCAGCTTAGTGAACAAAAGGTGTGTACTTGAACTGTATCCATCACTACACATGAAGAACTCCATCTATATGGTGCAGTTATGTACAGTTATGTACAGGGGATGCTTCAATATGTGCTACTCTAAAAGCTTATTAAAATAGATCAATCTTTTTCCAATGGAATATATACAGGGGGCGGGGGGAGAGAGAGAGGGCAGAGAGACAGAGACAGAGACAAAGTACACTTCAGCAAGCAGTGATACTCTCTTCAGCTCTTTCGAGATTGCCAGTATCTGTGTACACCAAGCACATAATTACACTGCTTCTAATATGAATGTCAGGAAAGTCAGATCTTTGAAATACTTTAATGCATGCACAAAATCTCATCTTTCATTACATTAGTTAGCCCACTTAACAGTGGACCAAAACATGCAGACTGTTAATAACACAATCTACAAAGGGAGGAATTTTGTGAATATGGTGTGAGTTAAAGAAATAAAAGGCATTAGACACCTGGATCAAGACTAGTGTCTGAGTGCATCTTTATCAACACATTTCCAGCAGTTTGGCAAAGCGCCCAGGGATGATTAGCAGCCAGCGTAAAGGAGGAAGGGGTATGGCCAAATAAAATTGTAAAGTCTCCTCCCAGTGGCAACACACAACAGCAGCAAAACAGCAAAGCAAAGCAGCTTCTGAGGATAACCTGGCAAAATCCAAATACTCCAAGCAGAGCTAGGTTCCTACAATGAAAAAGTGAAATCTTAAAATCAGCACCATATCAGACAACAGAACTCCTAAGTTTATCTGTTCTTGTGTTCATAAAGGTGAAGAATCTACAAGGTAAAATAAGCCAGCATAAATGTTAATAGGTTAACAGCTTTCTCAAACATCCTATGGTTTATCTGATGGGCAGGTATCTATTCTTCCTAAAATAAAGTAAGCATCGCCACATCCCTTGCAAAAAGAGTTCTGATACAAATCTAGTCTCTTACCAAATAAATAATTTTGGGAGAGAAAATAATTGCGAGTAGTTATAAGTCTAATTTGCAAAATCCTCTTTTGCTAAGAACTTAGTACTAGGTAAGTAATGTCAAACGTAAAAGTAAAAATACTTATTTTCTAGATGCACCAACAATTAAACAGACTTTGACTAGCTCTGGCCCTGAATTACTTGTAACCCTGAGTGACCAGTAACATTATAACACAAGCAATTATCAATAATAATTGATATTCCTCATTTCTAACAAAACATGGATGTCAAAATATGTTTTAAAAAGTGTTGTTTTCTGCTAACAACCCATATTTTATATAGCAAATAAAGGGACAGTAAATATTCAAATAACTTCCATTTAAGAACAGCTTTTATTCGAAGAGTTCCACATGTCTTATTTTTCAGTTATCCTTAGCTAAAAAGAGGGAGGAAAGGGGAAGGAAGCAGACTGTATTATCTTCTGGAACAATTTCATCCTGAAATGAGACTCAGGAAAAAAAAAGCAAACTGCTCTCTCAAATGCTGAAGAAAAAAAAAAAAGGATTCATTTTTTAAAAAAAATTCCAACAGTTGGCCTAAGAAAACAAAAAACAGATTCTGTCTTCTACAGAGCCACTGGACTTGAGTAAGTACCTCAGTTTCCCCCAGTGTTTATTGAACTGAGAACAAGGAAAAAAATTCTTTTCTTATTTTTTTTCTGGTTGAAAAAGAGTAGTATACACTGGGTGTACAAGCCTAATTTCCGATAATGGTATTGAGCATGCTATCTAGATAGGAAGCGAGGAGAGCGATTAAGTGTGCCCATCTGTATATTATGTAACCCCGAGTGGGAAATAAAACACGGCCCTTTAAAGCGAAACAGAGTAGGACCACACATTCAAACAGCCACATGTAACACAGATTTCAGGGACACGGAATCTCAGAATGATAAATGTCAAAGTTCTTGATTGTTAATCGGGTAGCAGGAGACGCAGCTATCCTCAGGCCTGATACCTCCTGCACAGATGGATGTAAAAACGTGCAGCACTACAGGAAGGAGGTCCACGGTGGAAGTGAGGGCCGCCACCGTCTCCGCATTGCTAAGTGTCTGACGCCTCGCCCACTACTGTCCACACGCCCAAGTTTCTAAAGGACCGTCTGAGGAATTTCTCCGGAAGAAAGGGCTGCTAAACCAGAGTTCCACCGGAGAGCATTTAAACGCCCCTCCAAACGATCCGAGCCACCGTGCCCGGGGCCCCACGCAAGGAGCCTCGAGTGAAATTCCAACAAAAGAGGATTTTGCAAATTAGACTTCTAACTACTATTCCTTCCGAAGGGGCAGGGAAGGGAAACGCGTGGCTGGCTTGACCTTACCCGGCTGCTTAGAAGTACTGCGGAGAATTTTCTGAGCTTCCCTCCCCATCCGCTCCCAATTTCCCTTCCTTGCCTGCCCGGGCTGCTCCCCCGCTCCACCTTCCCTGCACGCAGATACCAGAGCCTGCCCCCCTCATCGGCGGGAGTTTAAGGGCTGCTGCAACCAACCAGCTATAATCCCAGGAGCCAGCGAGGTGGAGATTAAACTCCCAATAAAGTGTTCCCCCCCCCAAAAAAAAAGTCCTTCTGCAAATAAGAACCCACCCACCAACCCACATCCTGTGATCACACAGCGACCTTAGGCTCCGTGCATGAAGTCCCCCAGGACCCTCCACTCCCCCCCCCATAATAAATTATATAAATATATATATTTTTTATTTTATTATTTTTTTAAGCCCAGGCACCTTTCAGGCTCCCGATCTCCTTGCCCGGGCTGCGAGCGCCCCCAGAGGCGCGCGTGCTCGGCCCCGCACCTCTTCGCTCCGGCAACTGGCGCCTCGTGCCTCGGAAGTGGCCGCCGGAGTTGCCCAAACGCCGCCTCCCGCGCCGGCGGGATCGCCCCCTCTCCGGACCCCGCAGAGGTGTCAGTGCCCGCGCCGCTCCCGCCGCGGCCGCGTGTCGCCGCCCGAGCCCCGCGCTCCGAGGGGGGCCCCTCGGCCCCGGCCGAGCGCGTGGGGAGCGGCGGGCGCCGGACACGTTGCGGCGCTCGGGCCCGCCCGGCCGCCCGCGCCCCCCAGCCCGCACCGCGCCCAGGTGCCGAAGGGGGCGGGCCGGGGTCCCCGCGTGCCGCCGCGTGGCCGCGAGCAACAGGGCGGGCGCCTCCCGGGCGGCCCCGGCGCGGCGCGCGGCCGGACCGTTACCCGCGCGGCGTGGTGGGGGGCCCCCCAGCAACTCACCGACTCGCACCTCGGCCGCCTCGGCGCCCCGCCGCTCCCCAACGCCCGCCGCCGCCGCCGCTCTGGCTCAGCCGCAGGCGCCGCCGAGCAGCCCCATCTACAAAGTCGGGGCTCCGAGTTGGGAACTGGAGCGCGCCCCCTCCGTGCCGCGCTCCTCGCCGCCGCCAGCACCGCGCGCGCAGTCCGGCTACCCGCAGCCGCCCTCCTCCTCCTCCTCCTCCTCCTCCTCGGGCTCGCCCTCCTCCTCCTCCCTCTCCTCCTCCTCCTCCTCCTCCTCCCGCCGCCGGGGCGCGCTCCCTCCCGGCCTCGCGCGTGCGCCGGACGCCGGGGAGCGCGCTCGGGCGCGAGGGGGCGCAGCAGCCGCCCGCCGCCCGGCCCCGCCTCTCCCGGCGCCGCGCCGAGGCCAGGTGGAGCCCAGCCCGCGGTTGGGACCCGGGGCCGCGCGCCGCCACCGCCGCCGCCGCCGCCGCCTGCGCCCCTCGCCTCTCCACGGCTCCCCGAGATCCCGACCCCGCGCCACGCCCGCCCAGGGCACAGCGCGTCCGCCCCCGCCTCGGGTGCTGGCGGCCGAAATTGCCGCTGTCATTTCTGCGGGCCCAGCTCGCCCCGAATCGGGCCCTTCCGACACGCTCTTCCCCGCCCTTTCCAAGAGTTTTACATTCCAGGAACCGGGCGCTGCAGCACAAAGGCTCAGTCAGTCCTGCAAGAAGAACCCCCGGGAAATGTCCCTCTTCCCCGCCCCCCCACCCCACCCTCCACCTCCCCACCTCCTGCCCGCACGACCCTGACTCCGAAGGGCATTTGGCCCGGCAGGACAGCGTTGACGGCGTCCTTCGTGCATTTCATCCCCAAGTCTCCTGAGCAGGGACCCGCACTTTTGAGCAGATCTCGGAGCCCGCTCGGCCAGACACGCGCAGGGCCCCCGCAGTCCAGCTCTTCTTCCCCAGGTATCTGATCTCTCCAGATCCCCAAGGACGGGGTTCGACCCCTCCTTTCCACGTCCACTCTGCTCTGCATGGAGTACGGTCAGCTCTGATATACGAACGCCCCGGTGCGCGGATGACACGCTTCGAAAAGAACGCAGATTTCATTTTTCAATTGAAAGCAACTAAGCAAAAGCAAGTGTGGCAGCGTCTCTGGCTCAGGAAAAGAAAAAAGAAAAAAAAAAAAACCTAGTAGAGAACTTCCCGATTCCCGGAATAGATACCCAATCCACAAAGAGGTCTTAGGAGCCCTCAGACCCAGAATTGGGGAGGAGGGAACATTTGGAAAAGCTCTCCTGTTTTCCCTTAATTTGAAGAAACTGAGAAATGCTGTTTAAATTTTGCAAATCATTTGCTGCAGTCTTTTCCAACTGAATGTTCAAAGTGTGAGGGAAACTGACACACCAGGGTGTCACATCAGGCGCCCCCTGACAGCCAATCCTGGATGAGGAGCACGGTTTGCACAGCCCTGCACACACCACACATGTTTGTGGTATGAGTGAGTGTACCATGGCTCTGGATTCAGGCATGCGGTATCAGACACCATGTCCTCCCCCCACTGGCACCCCACCCCCACCCCAAGTCTCACAGCCAGGTGAGTGATAGGCACAGAAGGGAGAGAGAATACTATAGATGGGGGTGAATGAAGAAGGCCCAGCACCCGAACCTGTTTTTCTCCTTGGCCACAACTAAGCATCAAAGATTAATTTACTTTTCCATTAGGAACATTAATTTTGCAAACCAACATGCAGAGAGACTTTGTAGAGTATTAATTTAGAACCTTGTTTCCTGGAATGGTGGTGCTGAGGAAGGGAAATTGGAAGCATTTCAGGGGACCTGAAAGGACCAAGAGGCAAGGTAACTTTGCCATGTGTGACAGCCACCCTCTCTGAGGACAGGTCAGCAGAGTTAAGGGGGTGGAGGGGAGTTGAGCAGGCCCACACAGAACAGAATGAGTTTACTCTTCTAGCACCAGAAGACTCCAGGGCTTCCTTTTCTCCCACCATCCCTTTCTTTCCCAATTGTATTTATCTCCCACAGTACACCCAAGGGCTCATTGGTGCTGTAGCTTCTCCTACCAGATCACCTTCTCTCCATGTGGTACTCAGATGGGTACTCTGGGTTCCTCTGGGGACCAGAGGGGAATGCTCATTCTGGGTGTCTTTCTGATTCCTTTCTAGTACACTTCTATTTCCTTCACATTATTCTGCAATGTCAGAACCTCAACTTTACCCTCAGATCCTACAAATAGTTAAGAAGCTAAGGAAAGACATCTTGCTGAGGGAGATCTATGGGTCTTTCTCCTCCACCCCTCAAACAAACCCGGATAGATCTCCCTGACTCACAACTGGAAAAAGAACTGGCCAATTCTCTCCTTCCTATAGATCAGGGATCCAGCATGTTGGGGGCAGGAGCTCAGGAAGAATGATCTTTAATTCAGAGTTCCCAGTCTGTTCTCTAATGGCAGTGGCTCTTAGACAGATGTTCTTTGTGGTTGTTAGAATCTGCCATATCCTCAGAAAAAATGACTTTGCTTCATAACTACCATCTCTTTGGGATTCTCTTGCAAGAGAAATAAATGTCTCTTTTCACATTTACATTTTATCAAATGCTCATATATATAAGTACTGCTATGAGACACTACTTTTTACAAACGATAGTGCCCATTTTAGGACATTCTGTTCTTCCTTGAAATTTTAAAGGTGGGGCATGCTCGCGTAAAGTGAAATATCATCTGAACATCAGAACTCTCATTATGGCTTGCTATCCCAACTTTCTGAAAGGGCCTCATTTCTGAGGCACTGCACATCCATTCCCAGGCCTGCTCAAATTCTTCATTCCAGGCAAGGAAAGTTGTGATTGAAAATGACGGGGAATCCTTCTTTTCAAGCATCCTTAATGGACCGACTTTTCATTTCCTTCAAGGTTACCCTAAAGGGATCATAATTTTACCACAGTCTAGTATCTCCTAAGTCATAACTCATCCAAAGTCTGGATTTTGATTCTTAATTCCGCAGCATCTGCCACTGGCTTTATTTCCTCCTTCAAACAGAAACAAAGCATGAACTTTTAATATGCCCGTGTTTTCTTTTCTCTAGTGACCTGCTTTGCTAGTTTAGAAATTGTGATTTTTTAAAAATTTTGTTAATGGTGAGAGCCCCAATTTTAGCAAAGCCTGATTATTTTCCTACTAAGCCATCATAATAAGAGCAGTGATGCTCCTGGAATAGAGCTTTATGAAAAATTGCAACTGACATGCTTCATAGAGTCCACCAAGCTTTCCTTCGGAATACTTTATTTAGCTTCACCCTTTTTTATCTCTGTTCACAAAGCCGGGTCAGACTGTGATTTCCAGCCTCAGTACTGACCTTTCTAATTCTAGTTCCTCTTGCTTGCAATTTACCCTGCGCTCAGTGTACATACACATGCAGGCATATGGACCACCTAGCAGTGCTGGAGGCCACCAGGGCTGTACCTGAGGTGCTAGGGAACTCTGTGCTGTGGGGGATCAAACTTGATGCCTTATACATGCAAGTCATGTGCTTTACCACTTATGCCATCTCCCCTGCCTCTGAGCAGTACTTCTTACTTTTGGCTATTGGAATAATCCAGAAAATGAACTTCCCCCCACCCCTCTTTCTCCCTTCCTTCCTCCTTCTCTACCTCTCTCCCCCCCCCCCCCCCAATCCCTAGATTTAATTGTTCCAGGCTGCAGTCTAGACATGAGACTTTTTTCCAGAATTCTCCAGGCAATTCTAAGATATAGCCAGAGTTAAGGACTCCTAAAATGAGTCATTTTTGCAAACGCCATTTCTTACCAAGGCTTCTCAGAACTTTGGGATGGCTCCAAGTTACCTCAAGTGATCAAATTAAATATCTAATCCTGTACTTTAAGACTCTTTGCCAATCGACTAGAATAGTCTCCTTTCAGAACAGCTTAAATTTATCTTCTTTCTAAAGCCTCTGCAGATTAGTCTCACCTGGCTGCCTCAAGCTCCGTGTTCCCAAGTCTCTGAGCACCCCAACTGGCACTGGTATACAAGCACTCGGACTCCAGTTGATTAGGGATAATATTGTTTTAATCTTGCTGTTGCAGATATCTGTCAGAGACTTTCCTTGTAATCCAAATCTCTCTGAAGTCCCACTAGGTCAATAGGCAATCTCAAAATAAACAGATATGCTATTCTTCATAGAAATTTCTCTTAGCTATCTGAAGAAACATTCCTGCTACAATGGGAGTTCATTTTTAAAAATAGCTTTATGGGGGCTGGAGTGATAGTACAGCAGGTAGGGCACTTGCCTTGCATACAGATGATCCAGGTTTGATCCTCAGCATCCCATATGATCCCTTCAGCCTCGCCAGAAGTGATCCTTGAGCACAGAGCCAGGAATAAGCCCTGAGCACCCTTGGGTATGGCTCTGAAACAAACAAACAAAAAACAAGAAAAGAAATTTTATTTTTATCACCACAATTAAAAATCAGCAGCTGTAAAACTACCATGATCAATGAAGCTTTTTCCCCCCTTACAACAGAAAATCTCTATCTCAGGGTATCTCTTGGACTTTCTGTACCACCATTCACTTAATTCATGCATTGAAGTTGGGCTTCACCACCCATTTCTCTTATGAAACTACTCTTTATGTCTTAGTTGACATCACTCATTTATTACTGCTAAATGCCTAGAATAAAACAATTAATGGTATCAAATTGCTCCTGCTTAAGAATGGAGAATAACAACACATTTCAATATCACAGGATAAATGCTATGTCAGGAGTCTTTTAAAAATTGATTTAAATTTATTTATTCAGGGTTTGTGGGGCATACCCATAAGTGCTCATGTGTTGTTTCTGGCTCAGTGTTCAGGGATCATTCCTGGAAGTATTCAAGAGACCCTATAGGATATCGTGGATCCAACTGGGGTTGGCCGTACACAAGGCAAGTGCCTTAACCTGTGTACTATCTTTCAGGTCCCTATCAAGTATCTTAAACAGATACAAAAGACATTATAGGGTCATTGCTGAATGTTCATACACTTCAACTTCTTTGTAATGTTTGAGAAGCCAAAGTTCCACCCTCACCCCCAATCCTCATCTTATAGGCTTTCCTTCCACTTTTCTGATACTATGAAATCCTGGGAATTTTTTCCCCCTATTTCTCTGATTATTTCTTTTCTGATATCTTGTTGTACACTTTAAATAGAAAGGTTCTGCTGAAAATGGAAGACATTTTTGAGTGAGAAAGGC